AATCAGCAGCCCAGAATCAGCAGCCCAGAATCAGCAGTCCAGAATCAGCAACCCAGAATCAGCAGCCCAGAATCAGCAGCCCAGAATCACATCCCAGAATCAGCAGCCCAGAATCATCAGTCCAGAAACAGCAGCCCAGAATCAGCAGCCCAGAAAGTGGAAAGAATACAGTAGCCACACCATCGTCTCACGAAGGTGGAAAGATGGCAACAATAACACCACGTGGAAAGATGGCAACAATAACACCATGGGGAAAGATGGCAACAATAACACCATGTGGAAAGATGGCAACAATAACACCATGGGGGAAAGATGGCAACAATAACACCATGTGGAAAGATGGCAACAATAACACCATGCAGCGATGGACTCTGAAGAACGCATTTTCCAAGATTTTTTTCAAATGATTTGAGAACGTTTGTAAAATCCTTTGTTTTGACCATGGCAACCATCAGCCACCAGAGTTTAAAGGGTCGCAGTGACGCAATCAGCATAACCTTGCTCGGGTAATCAGACAATTTTTTTTAATGTGTCCGTGTAATAAAAAATTTTTTTTTAAAAAAAAAGGTGTTTATCAGCACCTATTTATCTTCAATTGGGTCAACCGATTGGTGGCCGTTAAAACATTTCCTAATCAGTTCACCCACATCGACTCATGGGGCTGCAGCGTTTGCCACATCGGCACGGAGCACGTTGTCACGTGACGTGCCTAATTGTGGCTAATAACTATTCAAACGCCTTTAATGAACACTTTAGCCACACCCACATTCACTCTCTCCCTCTAGATCCCTCTCTCTATATATTTCTCTCTCTTTCTCTCTCTCCCTCTCTCTCTCTCTCTATATATATAAATATATTTCTCTTTCTCTCCTTCTCTATATATTTCTCTTCTTTCTCTCTCTTTCTGCATATTTCTCTTTCTTCCCTTCTCCCTCCCTCTCTCTTTCTACCTCTTTGTATATGTCTCTCTCTACCTCTCCCCTTTTTAAACCATATCTTTATAGTTTTCTCTCTCTCTCTCTCTCTCTCTCTCTGAACCTCTTTTCCAATTTTATCCTGTTTTCCGATAGGATCCCGATCCCGGTTTGATCCCATTACCCGATGGGATCGCGTTACCGATGGTTTTCAGTATACTAATAGATCTCGCTCCCCATTAGGATCGTATTCCTCTATGGGATCATGCTCAGTATGATTTTGTTCGAATAAGCTTTTAGAACACGTTATATAACCCCTGAGAACAATATAGAACCTTCTGGAAGATTCTAGATTTAATTTATTATGCTCCATGAAACCTGTAAAAAATTACTTTTCTAAGCAATTATTTTTCAAATACGAAATATTATACAACTAATTTGCACTACTATAAGTATATTACATTTATATTAAAATAGGGGCCTTGGTGGGGGCCCATTTAATAAAGTACCGTTTTAGTTATGTCTGAGATTGGGGGGCTATAAAATCACTCAGATAAATTATAGAGTTAAAATGTATATATAAATATATAAATATATATATATATATATATATATATATATATATATATATTTACATACACTAGAGTAAATGACCCAATGTTATCAGGATCTTTAGGGATCATTTCTACCCGTTATTGCCAAAACTCATCACATTTCCTAGCTTTCAAAAGAAGTATCTATGTAATGAATAATAAAATACTGATTTATATATGTGTGAGAGTGGGGGTATATATAAACACACAGATAAATTATAGAGATAAAATATATATATAAATATATATATATATATATATATATATATATATATATATATATATATATTTACATACACTAGAGTAAATGACCCAATGTTATCAGGATCCTTAGGGATCATTTCTACCCGTTATTGCCAAAACTCATCACATTTCCTAGCTTTCAAAAGAAGTATCTATGTAATGAAATTTACGTTTCTAACAGCATTATTAAGTTTTGAGAAGTATTTATCTGCTGTATAATATAGGCTTACCCTACTCCCTTTCACGCCCCTAAACTACTTTATCTTTCCTCTAAACATGACCTTAAATGACCCAATCTAAATTATCATTGATTACATCCCTTTAGTCACTCAATAAGTTCATTGAGGGACGATTTCTACGCTAGAGAAATACTTTAGATTTACCCATTTTCCAGCCCTTGAACTATAACAAAATAGTCTCTAAAAATTGTGAAAGCATAATCATAAATTTACAACAAAAACTCTATATCTGATAAAAAAATATATTTTATATTAAAGTCATTTCATACATTAATATCTTCATAAGAAATTTAAAAAACTTTTGCCTCATTTTTTAAAAATTATACATTATCAAGAAGTCGTGAAACAAAAACACAAAATCCTTTTATCTAAAGAAGAATCTAGAAACCGCTTTTCACGTCTATAACAGACTTTAGTGTCTTTTTAAAAAAAAAAATTGTTAATCTCATAAAAATACACGCCAACTTTACTTTTCGCAAAGTAAAACACAAATATATATTCATTTTTCTTTCTTTTTTTTGGAAAGAAAATATTAACCCAGCTCCATTTTTTTCAAAATTAAGAATTCAGTCAGTCTCGGGGATAGAACTGTCTTGACACATGATTCAGACAGTCTCGGGTATAGAACTGTCTTGACACATGATTCAGTCAGTCTCTGGTATTGAACTGTCATGACACATGATTCAGTCAGTCTCTGGTATTGAACTGTCATGACACATGATTCAGTCAGTCTCTGGTATTGAACTGTCATGACACATGATTCAGTCAGTCTCTGGTATTGAACTGTCATGACACATGATTCAGTCAGTCTCTGGTATTGAACTGTCATGACACATGATTCAGTCAGTCTCTGGTATACAACTGTCATGACACATGATTCAGTCAGTCTCTGGTATAAAACTGTCATGTCACATGATTCAGTCAGTCTCTGGTATTGAACTGTCATGTCACATGACTCAGTCAGTCTCTGGTATTGAACTGTCATGACACACGATTCAGTCAGTCTCTGGTATTGAACTGTCATGACAGATGATTCAGTCAGTCTCTGGTATTGAACTGTCATGTCACATGACTCAGTCAGTCTCTGGTATTGAACTGTCATGACACATGATTCAGTCAGTCTCTGGTATTGAACTGTCATGACAGATGATTCAGTCAGTCTCTGGTATTGAACTGTCATGTCACATGATTCAGTCAGTCTCTGGTATTGAACTGTCATGACACATGATTCAGTCAGTCTCTGGTATTGAACTGTCATGACACATGATGCTTTCACGCCCCCCTGACACCTTGCTAAGTGGTCCTGGTACAGTAGCTGTAGGTGACTTACATCAAACTGGATGGTATGCGTCTGCTGATACAGCCAGTGTAAAATGCAGCGGTTCTCCAACCGACGCAAGAGTACACACTCGTCGTACAAAAAGGCATACACAGAATATTGAAGTAAGGCTTTACTTTATTGCTATGTGTATTTTCCCTTCATAAATTAGAACCCATCAGGGTCATCCATGCAGTACCTGGCACGGGGTATGGCTCTACGTTAGTACACTGACATACTATGATGTGACAGTTGTATTGTACTTAAGGATCCCCCAATAACCATCTTGTTGTCACTGAACAGGCAATGTGAACATCAAGGATCCCTAAACACACCATATGTCACTGAAGACTATATGTGCACACCAATGATCCTCACACCTTTAGACAATATGTGCACACCAAGGATGCCTCACAACATAAGACAATATAAGCACACCAAGGATCCTAACACCTTCAGACAATATGTGCACACCAAGGATCCTCACACAATAAGACAATATATGCACCACAAAGATCCCTCACACCATAAGACAATATATGCACACCAAGGATCCTCACACCTTCAGATAATCTGTGCACACCAAGGATCCCTCACACCATAAGACAATATATGCACACCAAGGATCCTCACACGATAAGACAATATGTGCACCACAAGGATCCTCATACGATAAGACAATATATGCACCACAAAGATCCCTCACACCATAAGACAATATATGCACACCAAGGATCCTCATACCTTCAGACAATCTGTGCACACCAAGGATCCCTCACACCATAAGACAATATATGCACACCAAGGATCCTCACACCTTCAGACAATCTGTGCACACCAAGGATCCCTCACACCATAAGACAATATGTGCACACCAAGGATCCTCACACGATAAGACAATATATGCACCACAAAGATCCCTCACACCATAAGACAATATATGCACACCAAGGATCCTCACACCTTCAGACAATCTGTGCACACCAAGGATCCCTCACACCATAAGACAATCTATGCACACCAAGGATCCTCACACGATAAGACAATATATGCACCACAAGGATCCCTCACATCATAAGACAATCTATGCACCACAAGGATCCTCACACCATAAGACAATCTATGCATCCCAAGGGTACCACTGAAAAGAAGCACAAGGAACCGCCAAGCTCTTATCGACTTGAAAATTTTTTAAAAAAATGATATAAAAAGCCTTTCGTTTGCAGATAGGCGATTGGCTGATTGTATTACTAATGATAGAGTGTGGGCAATCTTCATCTAAATAACGCGGTGAGATAAGTATAGATAACAACACGGTGTTCTTTTCCAATTCTGTTGGCAGCGGTTCTCACGCGAGTGATGCATAAAGTTATTGAGTTCGGCGAAGTAATTTCAACAAAAAAAAATGTAAATAGGCATTTGTGTCCATTTTTGTCTACTTCATACGGCAACCAATAACCAGAAATTAACAAAGCAAACTAATCATGTACGAGGACAAATGAATGAATTAACACGTGATTAGAATCTGCCATCGGTGTCAATGAAAAAATTCAGTTAAAAAAACACAACCTTAACAGTTATTTATGGAGGTCATGTCTCGATTTATAACAATTTTTAGAACCACTCTAATAATATCCGTCGCATTAAAAAAAAAAAATAATTTTTAAAAAAAGTAGCCCGAAATATTTGACCATTTTGGACAGCGGACTTTTGACTCCAGACGACAAGCTGTGTGTAGGTGGATCTGTCCATTTCTTTGTTGGTCATCTGTTGCTCGGACTCACGGTAGACGGCTCAACTGTACGATCTGACCCAGGATGACGTATTCTCTGCTTGTTCTGGCGACTCTCGGTAAGTCAACCGAACACTTTCAAAGAACAATTTCGGGTGGTCTTTGCGTTTGGAAGAAATGGGGGCGGGTCCCAAGCCAAAATAGCGAGATGGAAAGCAGTGCTAAACATGAATGAATTATAGCGTGGAAAGTGTCACCTTGAAGACACAATGGAACAATACTTGTCAAGAAATGTCTATGAAAATGTCGGGCTAAAGTAATTACACAAAAGAAACGAAAGTAATAGGATTTTAAATTTAAAAAAAAAAAGAAATTGAACTTTTACAGATCAACAAAGTCTATTCATTCTGTCTAGGTTGTCGGGGAAACATATGAATTCTGCAGAGTTATTCGACTTTAATACAATGCAATTGCCTGGGTTTAGTGAAATGGGTATAATTGTTAAGCTATTCTCAACCTATTGTGGGTGTCATGGCGTCGATGCCGGGTACGGCTAACCAAATGATGTGTACTACTTTAGTCAAAGTGTTCCTTTCTCTTTGTATTTCCTCCCACACATACCTGTGTTAACAAAATAACATCGAACACACAGAGAAATAAAACCTAAATATAAGTTTATTCAAGACAAAAACGAAGTGCACACGTGAAAGGTCAGTTCCACACACTATTTTAACAACATGATATTGAAAACAATGAGTACAGATGAATAGAATGTGACACTAGAACGTGTGTGAATATAGTACTGTTGAACTTGACAAGTGAACATCCATAAATATTGTACTGTTGAACTTGACAAGTGAACATGCATAAATATAGTACTGTTGAACTTGACAAGTGGACATCCATAAATATAGTACTGTTGAACGTGACAAGTGAACATCCATAAATATAGTACTGTTGAACTTGACAAGTGAACATGCATAAATATAGTACTGTTGAACTTGACAAGTGAACATCCATAAATATAGTACTGTTGAACGTGACAAGTGAACATCCATAAATATAGTACTGTTTAACTTGACAAGTGAACATTCATAAATATAGTACTGTTGAACTTGACAAGTGGACATCCATAAATATAGTACTGTTGAACTTGACAAGTGAACATGCATAAATATAGTACTGTTGAACTTGACAAGTGAACATCCATAAATATAGTACTGTTGAACTTGACAAGTGAACATCCATAAATATAGTACTGTTCAATTTGACAAGTGAACATGCATAAATATAGTACTGTTGAACTTGACAAGTGAACATCCATAAATATAGTACTGTTGAACGTGACATATGAACGTGCGTGAATATAGATTAATGCTGAACGTGACACATGAACGTGGTCGAACGTGAGAGGTGAACATTGTCGAGCGTGACACGTGAACGTGCTTGAACATTTCAAACAGCGAAATCTGCTTCCATGTTGAAATGTTCCTTGGTTGAAACGCTATATAAGAACAAGAAAATTAAATTAAAGCATACACATTGAGAATTTTTATCACCCTTGTTTCTGTGTTCTGGAGTTGGGGTGTCAAGGTATTAGAACCCCCGAGAGTCTGTTGTGAGTGGATAGTTCTTCGTTTTGAATGAGAACGCAGAGTTCATGTGCCTGAATGCGAACTGGACTATGAGCTTAGCAAGATACAAGGTGGTCGGTAGTGTGAAGGAAGGTGGTCGGTAGTGTGAAGGAAGGTGGTCGGTAGTGTGAAGGAAGGTGGTCGGTAGTGTGAAGGAAGGTGGTCGGTAGTGTGAAGGAAGGTGGTCGGTAGTGTGAAGGAAGGTGGTCGGTAGTGTGAAGGAAGGTGGTCGGTAGTGTGAAGGAAGGTGGTCGGTAGTGTGAAGGAAGGTGGTCGGTAGTGTGAAGGAAGGTGGTCGGTAGTGTGAAGGAAGGTGGTCGGTAGTGTGAAGGAAGGTGGTCGGTAGTGTGAAGGAAGGTGGTCGGTAGTGTGAAGGAAGGTGGTCGGTAGTGTGAAGGAAGGTGGTCGGTAGTGTGAACGTATGGCAAGATGAAAGGATTTACAAGTAAGGAATCAATTATTGTCTACATGTCACTGACATTCACGTGCCTCCCTTTCAGCGCTGGTCTGCTTGACCACTGGTCAGCTCAACCCGCAGACACAGTGCGGCCAACAAGCCCAGACGTGCTACAACCAGAACAAAGACAACATCAGGAAGAAGTTCGATGAGCTCGACTTTCGTGGAGGCTGCAAGTATGTATAGGACAAGTAGGATAGTATTGACAAGTAGGATAGTATTGACAAGTAGGATAGTATTGACAAGTAGGATAGTATTGACAAGTAGGACGTTAAGGACAACAACAAAGAAAGGACTTCTATAGGACAGGTCAAATCATCCGGGAAACTAAAGCGAATAGGACAGATTGACACAACAAGCACTGGCAGAACAATCACACGCACAAAGGAGTGGGGCGTTGGAGGGGGTAGAGACATTCAGTTGAACTAGATCTGGCGCACACATACTGTTTGTATGTTGCGTAAAAAGATGTATTTAAATTTCTTCATAGTGTTGAAGCTAATTTTTTTTTAAAATATTTTTTTTTAAATATTTTTTTATGAAAACCATTGGATCAAAGTAAAAAGCTACATACTTCTTAACAGTAGTTTTTATATCTAAGGATTGGCCTGACATTAACTGCAGTCATATCTAAGGATTGGCCCGAGTTTAACCGCAGTCCCATCCAAGGATTGACTTGACTTGAACTGCAGTCATATCCAAGGATTGGCCTGATTTTAACTGAAGTAATATCCAAGGATTAGCCTCAAGCCAACTAATATCCTCATGATCTATGTCTATCCCCAAGGATGTCATCCAAGGATTGTCCTGACTCAGTCCTCATGTCAACTAATGCCCTCATGATCTATGTCTATCCCCAAGGATGTCATCCAAGGATTGTCCTGACTCAGTCCTCAAGACAACTAATGCCCTCATGATCTATGTCTATCCCCAAGGATGCCATTCAAGGATTGTCCTGACTCAGTCCTCATGTCAACTAATGCCCTCATGATCTATGTCTATCCCCAAGGATGCCATTCAAGGATTGTCCTGACTCAGTCCTCATGTCAACTAATATCCTCATGATCTATGTCTATCCCCAATGATGCCATCCAAGGATTGTCCTGACTCAGTCCTCATGACAACTAATGCCCTCATGATCTATGTCTATCCCTAAGGATGCAATTCAAGGATTGTCCTGACTCAGTCCTCATGACAACTAATGCCCTCATGATCTATGTCTATCCCCAAGGCCCAAGGATGCCATTCAAGGATTGTCCTGACTCAGTCCTCATGACAACTAATGCCCTAATGATCTATGTCTATCCCCAAGTATGCCATTCAAGGATTGGCCTGACTCAGTCCTCATGACAACTAATGCCCTAATAATCTATTTCTATCCCCAAGGATGCCATTCAAGGATTGGCCTGACTCAGTCCTCATGTCAACTAATGCCATTATGATCTATTTCTATCCCCAGGGATGCCATTCAAGGATTGTCCTGACTCAGTCCTCATGTCAACTGATGCCATTATGATCTATTTCTATCCCCAGGGATGCCATTCAAGGATTGTCTTGACTCAGTCTTCATGTCAACTAATGCCATTATGATCTATTTCTATCCCCAAAGATGCCATTCAATGATTGGCCTGAATCAGTCCTCATGTCAACTCATGCCATTATGATCTATGTCTATCCCCAAGGATGCCATCCAAGGATTGTCCTGACTCAGTCCTCATGTCAACTAATGCCATTATGATCTATTTCTATCCCCAAAGATGCAATTCAAGGATTGGCCCGACTCAGTCCTCATGTCAACTAATGCCCTCATGATCTATGTCTATCCCCAAGGATGCCATCCAAGGATTGTCCTGACTCAGTCCTCATGTCAACTAATATCCTCATGATCTATTTCTATCCCCAGGGATGCCAGAACGCTCTTCTCGTGTTTGAACGGAGTGCCCGGCGCTGACGCTTGTAACGAACTTCAGACGTTCAAGAATTTAGCCATCAACACGACCGACGGAATCTGCCGTAATTTCCCATTGAACCCAACTTTTATTTAACATAATTTAAACCATAAAGAACTAGTATTAACTCTAACATACTTCAAGGCTCCAAATAACTCACCCAGAGGATAAAAACGAAAATAGGATAATTCTGCTTAGGAAAACAATAACATTTTAAAAAGTGCATCCCAAAACAATTAACATTTAACGAAACAAATTATATGTCCTTGACATTCACCAGTAACCTTTGACACCCCCCTCCCCCCGAGCCCTAATGTATGCACAGCTCACTTTTAATTAACCCAAAGAAAAGACAAACAGATATAAGTCATAAATTGTTATCATTACCTTGTTTGTTAAATCTGACGGCTGATTTTTAAATGGAAAGTTGTGGCAAAGTGGTTTTAAGTGAGTGAAGAAAAATATGGTATTAAAGTAAGCATATCCCACAGTCTCTGGAAGTAGACGCTTTGGTGAAGATTGCATGATGGTTTGATTTTCTTTTCCTTATCTCATCGACTTTTGTGGCTATAGACAATAGACATACCATATACCATTGACCCGTTATCTCAAAGACTTTTGTGGCTATAGACAATAGATATTTTGTTTACAATTGACTCGTTATCGCAGTAAAATTTAATTCAATGAAAAAACGATTGAAATAATTTCACGTTGCATTTTCCACATCTTCTTTAATGGCCAGACTGCACACCAAATATTGGGCGCTGATTTACTTAGACTGTATCGAATATGTTTTCAAATAGTTATTTTCACATTGAGTTGTTACTGTTTTATCCTCCCCAGAGCCTGGAGGCGAGGGCACCACGATTTGTGCTGACCGACTAGGTCCGTGCCTGCAGTACGCCTTTATCATTAAAAACGATTTCGCCAACAGCAACGCCACTCAAGCGTGCCCGTAAGTTCGCACAAGTTTGAGTTAGTGTGCGGGGACGGGGGGGAGGGGGGGGCCGGGGGGGGGCAACAAACTCCTCGGGGCCTTCCGTAAGTACGTCACGTTCATATTTTATGTATACCCCGGTATATATATATGCTCTGATAACTTACCAAGTGCTACCAATCACTCATAATATATCACCATAAATTTAAATTTGGGCCCAATACCAAAACACATCTACTTATTACTGAAAACAAATGAACATTTTATTAGCTCAGGGACGCAAATGTCACTTTCGGTATTTCATGGGTAGAAAATGACACTTCTATTTTCTCATGGATGCAAACGACACTTCTGATATTTCACGGACGGAAATGACACCTCTGGTATTTCAGGGCCCTGAACCAGCTCAACTCGTGTGCTGAGGACATCATGAAACAGAATTCCTGCAATCCAAATATCAACAAACAACTGAATCGTGCCAGAACAGCGCTCAGCGAGGACATCATGCTCAACGGATGTGGTAAGTGTGGCGCGGCTTGAAGTTCACGTTCATTGTAATGTATCGTCCGCCAGTCGGAATCCTCTATGACCCACTGAAGCATCATATCATCATTGAATTCATGTCCAGCCGCCTGGGCCATACTACAGTAAATGTGATCCCTATGAATCCATCTGTCTTTGGAAGACTCGCCCTCCACAGAAAGACTTTTTGCTTGCTCAGATTTTCTCTTTTATCGTGCGACTAAGAATACACGATCGTGCTAATAAAAAAATATTATTATAGACAGCCTGTTACCAATAACTGCGACAACATATTATGTGGTCCAGGCGTATGCAACATTGTGTGCAAATGTCCGTAAAAACGTATGTTCTTTTGTAGCGGATCGCATGATATGTACCTAGGAACAGAGACATTCTAGACTCGGTAGACAATGGATTGATACAAAAATGTTGGTTAATTTAAAAATAATTATAATTAGGTGACAGCAAGCAGATAACATCTGTCAATATTTACTGGTTAATAGTGAAGATCATCTTTCAATTTTCTGTTATGATATTTGAGTCACGGAGTCTCAGTTCGACAATGTCACAGCTTGAGTCTTATATTTCGTAAAATCATTTACCATTTCGAAACATTATGGAAACTTTATTTTTTTTGTGAATATCATTTCAATGTTTGTCTATAACTTTTACCCCCAACCCCCCAATCCCCTCAGATGGACCTTGTGCACAGGCCATAGGCAAATGTCAACTTAAGCTGGCCGGAGACGTGTCCAGTCAACCCTTGTCCAAAACTAACTGGACCGACTTCTGTATGTAAGTTGGGAGCTCAGGGGGGAGGGGAGCGACCTTAGCAACTGACAGACTAGTGTTGTCAGGGCTAGGCGCCATAAGCTACTGATAGACTCTCGTGTAGTCATAGCTGTATTTATGTTAAACTATACATGAATACCATGAAAATAAGAGGTGCCAGCAAAGAATCTATGAGTTAAAACAAGTCTCACACAGACACGTTAGTTCCTGTAAAAGTACCAGCAAAGAATCTATCAGTTCAAACAAGTCTCACACAGACACGTAAGTTCCTGTAAAAGTACCAGCAAAGAATCTATCAGTTCAAACAAGTCTCACACAGACACGTAAGTTCCTGTAAAAGTACCAGCAAAGAATCTATCAGTTCAAACAAGTCTCACACAGACACGTTAGTTCCTGTAAAAGTACCAGCAAAGAATCTATCAGTTCAAACAAGTCTCAAACAGACACGTTAGTTCCTGTAAAAGTACCAGCAAAGAATCTATCAGTTCAAACAAGTCTCAAACAGACACGTTAGTTCCTGTAAAAGTACCAGAAAAGAATCTATCAGATCAAACAAGTCTCAAACAGACACGTTAGTTCCTGTAAAAGTACCAGCAAAGAATCTATCAGTTCAAACAAGTCTCACACAGACACGTTAGTTCCTGTGTAGAGATCACATGCATGGATTAGCAAATGCCAAACCTCGTGTTAAAATGTTCATTTCATAATTGCCATGAGTTAATTATGTTATCGATGATAAATTGTACGTTCAGTATGTGTGTAGCCGGGGGAGGGGGGGGGTTAAAGGGGGGTTTTCTCAACTCTTTTGTATGACATGGAACCCTTTTAGCATCTTGGTCCTGGTGTACTTCTGGTGAGGATGTTGCCATCGAATGGCATTCAATGCCAAGTGGCCACACAAAAAAATCAAGTTTTATTGATTTTAATAATTGTTTTTTAAAAGTGATGTTTCTTGACACATGTTGGCATATTTAAAGTGATGTTTCTTGACACAGGATGGCATATTTAAAGTGATGTTTCTTGACACAGGGTGGCATATTTAAAGTGATGTTTCTTGACACATGATGGCATATTTAAAGTGATGTTTCTTGACACAGGGTGGCATATTTAAAGTGATGTTTCTTGACACATGGTGGCATATTTAAAGTGATGTTTCTTGACACATGGTGGCATTTTAAATTGATGTTTCTTGACACATGATGGCATATTTAAAGTGATGTTTCTTGACACATGATGGCATATTTAAAGTGATGTTTCTTGACACATAATGGCATATTTAAAGTGATGTTTCTTGGCACAGGGTGGCATATTTAAAGTGATGTTTCTTGACACATGGTGGCATATTTAAAGTGATGTTTCTTGACACGTGATGGCATGTTTGAAGTGATGTTTCTTAACACATGATGGCATATTTAAAGCGATGTTTCTTGACACATGATGGCATATTTGAAGTGATGTTTCTTGACACAGGATGACATATTTAAAGAGATGATTCTTGACACAGGATGGCATATTTAAAGTGATGTATCTTGACACAGGGTGGCATATTTAAAGTGATGTGTCTTGACACATGGTGGCATGTCTTTGCACTTGTGCAATGCTTTGAATACTTACACTTAAATTGTTGTAATTTATTTTTTTTATCGTAATCAGAAGGTTTGTGAATATGCTGAAAATGAATACCGGTATACACCATGTCATCTAAAATTGTCTCCATTTATTTGGATCAATAAAATAATGTAATCTTATCTTATCTTGTCTTATGTCATGTATGATTTTCCAGCCAGGGCTTCAGTGCGATCAATTGTGTGGGTAACCTGTCATCCACCTCGGGAGCGTGCAGGGGTAGCAGTGACCCACAGTTGGTAAAGACCATGATGAACAGCTATACAGCTTACTTGAAGGATTACTGCAGTGAGTAGATTATACCAGAGCCATCGATGCATGGGCCCTGCAACCTGGGATATTTAATGAACCCAAAAATGTAATAGATAAAAAAATTATAATTAAACGATCAACTTTGAATGCATGGGGGGGGGGTGGAAATTGGCGGGGGTGGAGGCTCCGATAGTCACGCGGCGACGGCGCTGTCCATAGTCAACGGTTATGAAAGGTCAAAGGTCTAAAAATGTAACCATCATTCCCACTTTGCAAATTGTCCAATGACTTCAATATTTAAAACATCTTGTAGTTTTGTAAATTTGACAACACTATTTGCACAAGTTATAGTTCTAGCAAATGTTTTTGTTGTTGTTGTTGTTGTTATACCGGTAATTGGCGCTAACTGGACCACAAAAAGAGCTTCTAATTACTGGTACGGGATTTGGAGCAGTAGATGGATTTGTTCAAAAACTGTTTCACTTCACAACACACCAGTTTAGCTCAAGTTTAGAATGGGTCTACGCAACATCCGTGCCAAAATTAATCCAAGCTTACTGTTCTGTTCCGGCAGAGTTTTTTTTAAAAATACGTATATAATTTTTTTTAATGACACTACACAAGCTTGGAAACAAAAACGACAAAAAGTCTTGCTGTCATCAAGAAAGAATCATACCATCATGCCGTCATGGCCACATGCCATCATACCATCATGCCACCATATCATAATGCCGTCATGGCCACATGCCATCATACCATCATGCCACCATACCTTCATACCATCATTCCACCATACCATCATGCCACCATTCCATTATGCCTCCATAACATTATGCCCCCATACCTTCATTCCACCATACCATTATGCCACCATACCATCATGCCACCATACCATCATGCCACCATACCATCATGCCGCCATGCCACCATGCCGCCATACCATCATGCCACCATACCATCATGTCACCATACCATCATGTTTTCAAAGTTTAACTTCCGTCAATAAGAAACTGCCGTAGATAATGTTTATTTGTTTTTTCAAACAACAACAACAACAACAACCAACGAGATCGAAGCATTGTTCAGAAAGTTCGAGAACAGGAGAGCCCAAGGCCAAACTAGACTTACACTACCTTGGAAAATAGTCTTTGTTGCTGCTGTTGTTGTTCTGGTAGTGTTCGTTGCTGCATCCATGTACTGGCATCTGTGCAACGGTTGGGGGGCGATGATGCTATTCTAACAGCTCCTAGCAGATGCCAGGGCAGCATTAAAGCTTTCGACCCGATGTCGAGTCCACGGCGGCATTGTCCAGGTGTTTCCAAGCGATGATTGTGCGTGGGAAAAAATTATTGTTGATACTGCACTGTGTTACACCGAGGCACGATGAAGCATTTGCTGTTGTTTCGGGTGTAATTGTTTAATCAGTGGTGAAATCAGTGTTCAGTGAGCGTTTCGCTCTGATCAGTCTACCCGGCTTCTGTGGGGTGAGGTACGTGCCTGCTGGGATGGCCGGCGCCAGTCCCATGACCACTTTGTATAAGAATGTCAGGCGGAGCTCCTCTCGTCTGTCTTTAAGGGGAAGGATGTCAAATCTTTTTAAGAGGTCAGTGACGAAGCCAGGAGTGGTGGATTTGTGGTCACGTGCGATGAAGCGCACCGCGTTACGTTGGATTCGCTCCATCTTGTCCACGTCATGCTTTAGGTGTGGGTGGCAGATGATCGCACCGTAGTCTAATAGTGGACGGACGAGTGCAAGATAGGCATTTCGTTTGCAGGAAGTTGGGCAGGGGCGCAGATTTCTTCGAATGAACCCAAGTGTGGAGTTAGCTTTTTTGAAACTTTGTTTATATGGGGCGACCATTTTAGGTTATTTGAGTAGAGAATTCCAATGTATGGATTATTTGATACTTTTTAGAGAATAGTCTCGTCTAGTGAGCACATATAGGTTGATGTTGTTGTTTTTTTTTCTTGAGATGCTCATCCTGTAGCATTTGGTTTGCTTTTTTTTTAAGGTGGGGGAGTGGGGAGAGTATTACTATTACATTACATTTCGTTTTTCTTAAAGTGACGTTTTTGTATATAAACTGAAAAAAAAAAATGGTGCGAAAATAATCGTCATTACACTAGTCACTATAAAAATATCAAACTTCAAAGACTCAAAGTTTCCTATTTAGTTTCCTATTTTTAAAAAAAAATATCATTTTCCTGTGCCTGTCATGTGAATGTCAAGCTTACTTCCTCATGGTTTAATCCGACAGCCGACACCGGTGCGCCATCCCAGTGCATGGTTGGACTTGAGCTGTGCAAGGTTGACCTCACCACCTTGACATCCAAGTCCACTGTCGACCAGGAGTGCGCGTGAGTCAACTGTGTGTGTGTGTGTGTGTGTGTGTGTGTGGTTGTGGTGGGGACCTTAACCAATCGTCATCACAGTTTTCATTCTCTTTTAACGTGTTCTTTTTAAAAGATATTAATATTCAGCTCCATTTATTTATGGATATGGCTCACATTGACATTTAAAATATAAATTATCGGCTCCATTTATTTATGGATATGGCTCACATAGAAATTTAAAATATAAATTATCGGCTCCATTTATTTATGGATATGGATCACAATGAAATTTAAAATAAAAACAATCAGCTCCGTTTATTTATGGATATGGATCACAATGAAATTTAAAATATAAATAATCAGCTCCATTTATTTATATTTATGGATGTGGATCACCTCGAGATTTAAAATATCAATAAGCAGCTCCTTTTATTTATGGATCACTACAAGATTTAATTTATCCAAGCGTGATTGTTCTTCAAGTCTTTTCCCGGGGGTAATTTATTGGTAAAAAGCTGTGATTGTTTCTGGGTTTTTTTTATTTTAAATCAAAATCTTAATAAGGTTACTAAGATATCTAGAAATGTATAAAATATGTCAAAACTCCAATTATTTCGTAACATATCTTCATGTACACAACCAGGATCCATTCAGAGTTGGTGGGTGGACATTTTTGACAAGATTTTGCTACTTGCCAAATTTCAACTTGTCTTTTGGTGCCCAATAGTGAAGCTTGTCTCAGGTGTCCTTTGAGAAACAGATGCGACGTGAAGGACACCACTCGTGCCATGAAGACTGAAGCCACGCCAGCACGCCATGAATTGATTCTCTGAGTAGCTAGATGTCATAAGACAACACTCGTGCCATGAAGGCTGAAGCCACGCCATGAATTGATTCTCTGAGTAGCGAGAAGTCATTTACTAACCACAAGACAGCTAACATTTTCTATGGGGTTCATAAAATATTGCACGGAGTAAAATACACTTTCTGACCAAAGCAAACGCCTCCAAGCAGTTGGCATAGTTTGGGTGATCCCCCCCCCCCCCCCCC